GACTTAGTATGTTTGTGGTCACAGATACATTTCAAAAAAGATCATGCAAAAACCAGCTGGCTGCCAATAAAAATGTTTTAAATAAGATGTACCACAATTAGTGTACATGAACAATTAGTAATTCATGCAGCTGTAGGTACACAGAAAGCTAAACATACTTACCTAATGGTACGCTATCTAGATCTGTATAAATAACAGCAAAAAGGAAACAAAAAGCAATACTCCAATCAAAACAGATCCAATGTTAAGAACTCTCACATAAAACAAGATTATGTACCATTTATAAGATATGTAGAATAGATGCCATAGCAAACACTTATACATTTATTTTTAAGATAGTTAGATATGCAGAATAAAGTAATGAAATTTGGTTAATAATTTAAACAACCAACTCAGAAACATTGTTGATCTTTTTTAATTCATAAAAATTATTTGTTTAATAATGCTAAGTAAGGATTTTTAAGTTACTAATCATTTCTTGTAATGACAATAATTACATCCCCCCAAATTTACACATGCAAATTAAAAAAGGAATAATTAAAAAGCATAAGTAAATACAGCATCTATTCAGTCAAGCTATAGAGGAAAGAGGTAGAGTACAGCATACTCAAAGAGCAAAGTTACCATGCAATTCATTTGACTAAGATTTAATCCAAATTACCTTGTAAAGCATGGCCTAGTAAAGCATCTAGCTCAGGATTTAATTCTGCTTTCTCTTTCAACATATGGAATAAGAGCTGGTTTTGTGTAGCACTGGTTATTTCAGTTTGTTTAAGCCGACCTTCAAGTACTTTAATTTGAGCCTCTTTCTGGGCAGCCTGAAGACCCTATAACATTCCCCCCCAGAAAAAAAGGTGTATCTTAGATCACACAAACAGAATCAACTACATGAAGATCTGTATCAAATGGCAAATGCATATGATGTACAGACTTTGACATTCGATAGACCTTGATTCATCCTAGCTCTTATGCTTGCAAACTCAGTGACCCTGAGCAAGTGTTGGCTAGCTATTAGTATCAGAGGAATCTTCCTGATTAGTATCAGAGTCTTCCTGATTCTCAGTTTCCTCATATTCAAAACAATACAAATAATATTTATTTCATGCACATTGTAAGGATTAAGCAAGAGAACAAAACTAAAGGTATAGCACACTCTCAGTGTCGAGAAAAAGGGTGAGTCAGAAATCATTAGCATCTTTAACATTTAAGCAGAAATTACTTAAGATAAGGAGAGTGCAACTGTATTTTTTCCTGACTTTTTGAGTTGTAAAGAATCATTATTAAATCAAAATTATAACACTGAATTTGTTTGCACACTAAGAGATTTTCCTTTTACCTTTTCCTTTGTTGAAGCAAAAAAGAAATTATTCTTTGTTTACCTGTTCTAATACACAAGCACAATAGATGAGAAGCTAATGGAATTGATGTAAATACTGCTGACTTTTCTTAACTCTAAAGAAAGATAAAAGGAACACGTTTCATTGTAAAAGAATCTCCCTCCTTATTACAAAGGAAAGGGTCATTAGAAAAAGATAGACAAAACTGTAATGAATTAACGGAAGCTTAGGTTTTTCAATAATGGTGTAGTTAGATCTTACCTTATTGATGCCCATTGACAGGAAGTGATCTAGAAGGTATCGAGCTTCTGTAAGTGTGCAAGCATTAATGACTGCAGTGATATCCAATGTTTCTCCTTCTTCCTGCATCAAACCAGCATATGATGGATCATTACCTTGAGCTGAATGTATTTAACAGAAGACAAACCCTACTGCTTCATGCATTTATTTGATATTATTGGATTAGCTAATGAGACTTCTCAGAAAAGCATAAGAAAATCCCTACTCTAAGAAACATATGGTCTAGTTTAAAACATAAGACATTTGAGCAGTTATGAATTCAAGATGGATTAACAAATGATATATATGTTTTATCAATGAAAAATAACATCACACAATCAGCAGAGAAATCTAGAAAGCAGGCAGGAAGGGTATACATGCAAAACCTAAGAATTACATTAAATCATAGATTAAAAAATCCCTTCATATAAAAATTCAAAGTGCTTTTAATGACAAAAATACAAAAATACTTCTCATTAAACATTTATTCTTAGTTACAAACCTTTGCTTCTTCCATCTGCATGATATTAGCTTGACAATCAGAAATACTGTCATTGATATAATCTATATTAGCAGTTAATGACTCCATCTCCTCATTGATGTTAATCACATTTTTATCTCCTTCTCCAGTCTCTTTGACTATCTTTTCCCTTCTCTTTGAAAGTTTCTCTCGTCTTTTTGTGAGTTCTTCCCGTTGCTATTGAGAAAACAGAGTAGACTTTAAGAAATTATGTTCATCTTAGACCTTGAGAACTTAATGCCAAATGAAATAAGTGAGTTACAGGAGGGGTAAATACTGCAGGATCCCACTTCTGGGAAGCATCTAAATAGTCAAACTCATAGAAGCAGTAAATAGAATGGGGTTACCAGGGATTGGGAGGAAGAGGAAATGGGGAGTTGTTGTTCAGTGAATATAAAGTTTAAATTATATAAGATGAGTAAGTTATAGAATTCTTTACAACACTGTGCTTATAGCTGTCAACACTGTGCTATACATTTTAAAATGTATTAAGAGGGTAGATCTCATGGCATCTGTTCTTACTACAATTAAAAAAAAATGATGTTCATCTATTCATACACAACACAATCACCACCCCCCAAAAAACACAGCTTGGTAAGTATTCAATTTACTCAGCAAACAAATGTAGAAAACAGAAATTAACAGCTAAGAGACAGCAAATCTACTTTCTACTTTTCACACCTTGAGCAGCCTATTCATATCAGCCTCCATATTGGAAATAGTCATTTTCTGCATGATGATGTCTGTGACCCTGCGTTCAAGAAGCTGCCACTTCATGCGAGCTGTTTTAGAAGTAAACACTCGGCCAGTCAATCCTTTCCTTTGGTATTTTTTTCTATAATCATATAAAAAACATACAAACATAGTTACTTATGTGCTTGTTTGATTATATGATGCCAAATGATGAGTTGTTTTTCAACATCCAGTGATGTAAAGATTACATCAGTAGGAACAGAAGAACATGCTTACCTGGTTCCATTTGCCGTGGGTGTTGGTAAGGCCTGGACTCTTGCCACAGGAATTCTCATTTTTTGCTGGGCTCCAGCTCTTAATGCATCTGTTTCTACAGCAGCTGCACTGGAACCTGTGTCCTGAACAGGAGTATCAGATGA